GCAGGAATGTTACTGTTCTCATAACTTTGAAATAACAAGCATGCGCATATGTGCTTGCTATTATTCCACAAAATACCGAAAACAAGAAAATAAAAGGCGAGAAAGATGGAAAAACGATTCTTTCCAATCAATCACTGTTCATAAGGAAATAAATTAAGCGTTTACCCGTTGTCTCCTGTAGAGAAAATATTTTTCTTATGCATGACATGAGCAAAGGAATTTGTTGAATCTGATTGTGAGTTTTTAAGCAGTTTTCTTGTGCTTTTACAGTTTTCTTGGGCCATGTGCACTTTCTTAACCTATTTTATCTGTTTTCTATTTTAAATCTTAATTGTTTTCTTATTTGATTTAGGTAACATCGGCGTTGAGAGAATCTGGTCTCGAATCATCTAATTTAATTCTCGGTATTGACTTCACAAAAAGCAATGAATGGACAGGTGAAATGATGTGTTTTTTAGCATCAACATATTGATGCTGTTGTTTACCATATTCTGTGTTTTTTTTTGTTGGTTTGTTTGTTTGTTAGTTTATAGAAAGATTTACATACATGCCTCACAATTCTCGTATATTTACATATCTAGCACCAAAGCTTTCATATTTACATTTATAACACTTTGGTGTGATAAAGCTATGTATAAAAAGTTTTATTTAACTTTTAAAAAGTAGGTGATAGTGATATTAAAGATTTGAGCGCTATGCATGTATATACCAAAATTTTGGTGTTAGATATGTAAATACATAAGAATTGTGTGGTATGTCTGTAAATGCCCCTCGTTTAAAATGTCTAAGAAGTGACCATACCTGTCTACACACCACAGGAAGGCATTCATTTAGAAGGAAATCTCTCCATGCTCTTAGCAAGGCCCCTAATCCATATGAGCAAGCCATTTCTATCCTTGGTCGTACTCTTTCTTCCTTTGATGAGGACAACTTGATACCTTGTTTTGGGTTCGGTGATGGTGAGCGCTTTCTATCTGTGCTTATTTCTTGTAACAGTTTGCTATGTTATTTCGCTTCTCATGACTTTATTTTTTTGCTTTCTGCAAAAGCATCCACTCGAGACCAACATGTGTTCAGTTTTTTCGGCGATCACCGTCCTTGTTGTGGTTTTGTGGAGGCCCTCGAGCGATATAGGCAGATTGTTCCTCATCTTAATCTATCAGGTTCGTAATTTCCCCAATTTTATATCGCTCTTCTGTAATAATAGCTCTTTAGGATACAGTTTATAGGGTTAATCATTTATGTTTCTTGTTACTTTATTGCTTTCTAGCTGCCTAATAAGTTTATAAATTGTTCTGTTAGTTTTCAACTGTATCAACCTATGTGATTGGCAAAGGCAAGCTGCTTATTCTTCAAGTTACCTCTAATTGCAGGCATCTAATTTTTGAACTTCTTGATCATCCATAATTGTTTCATCCTTTTTAAAAGCTTTGGATTTGTTCTTTGAAGGTAAAACTTATTGTCAAAATTGATCATCAACATAAATTTTGACCAAGTTGTTTTCAATGAGGATTAATAAAGTTAAATGATGTAGGTCATTTAAGGGTTTAGGGCTTCTAATACAACATGGATGAGATGCAAAGTAAAAAACACAACTTCACAATCCTTAGGTTACTAATTCTTAACTTTACCCAAACTTTGTTATTAGGCTTTATTCATTGCAATATATAATTAATGACTGCCCCAAATAAAAAATTCTATCATGAAAACAATGATAAATATAGATTCTTATACAAATCCAACTAATGATTGTGGATGGCAACTGTAATGATAGAAATCACAGAAAGAAAAAATCAGGGCGGTGAATTAAGGAGTATCCCCTGAAAGTAAATACCTAAATCTATCTATGAAGCATTTAAAGAATACATATCCAGCAAGTGCTCATAAATACATATAAAGATAACCTTTTATTTTAATATTTAATTTTACTGCAATTGACCGCCCAAAAAAGGACCCCAAAATAGAAATTACACGGAAGCTATCAAGTTTTACTCAATTCAATATGCTAGTATATATTGGAATTTTAAGTGTTTTATGGTCCTAATAAATTTCAAAACTCTGTATGACTCACTTTTCTTCAGTAATTGCTAAAGACTTTTGCAGGTATTCTTTTTTTTATTTTGAAGCACCATTAGCATGTCTTTTGGTTTGGATTTCACCTCTTGTTTAGATTAGCAACAAACTTTTATTTGCTATAATTAATTATTAGTCATCTATGAATACCTTCATAAAAAATATGCATATGTTCTATAAATGTTTATACAAATTCACTAGATCTAGATTTGACATAAAGTTCAACATGGTTTGGATTTTCTAGGCTATTAACTTTTGACAACTTCAAATGAAATCATGCTTTTAGACTTATTAGCTAATAAATTATACATACACTCAGCCATTAATTGTATCAAATCCCCTCTAGATGTGTGCTGTTTACTCGAACAACTTAACTGATCACCTAAACTACCATTAACTACTTTGTTTGACCGCTAATTTGTGTGTGATGGTCAACTGAAAATTTGAACCAGGTTTCCTTTTTTTTTACTGAGTTTGTTAAAGAACTACACGTGAATTGTATGGCACTATCAGAGTCAATTTTCTTAGTTAACCTTCACAAGTTAACACTTCATTACAATATAATTTTGCTATATGAGATTCCTCAAAAAAAATTTTTAAAAATTAAATAAAAATCGAACAATCAGTTACGCCGGTGTCTAAGGGAAATTTAATCTTTTATTATTTATTATTATTTTGTATAAATAGGGATATAATATTTTTAGGGTTAGGGTTATGATGAGATTATTGTCTTGAATATTAGGGTTGGGGTTTTGGGAAGGTGTCATCTTCCTCTCGAATTGTAGGTGCTAGGGTTAGAGTTTGGGAGAGATCACCTACTTCTTGAATTGTAGGCGCTTATCTTCTATGCATTTGAGTGTATTGTTTGGAGTTCTTATTTGCTTGCTTGGAGATTAATCAAATTAGCCTTAATTTGGGTTTTTTCGTATATTTCTTGCAATTTGTCGCTAAGTTTGGCTTTGATTCATATCAATTTGGTATCAGATCATAGATCCTTCTTCACTACGAAGCCCGAGTCGCAATAATTCTCCGGGAAACCAAGATAGATCGTTCGTAACCGAACATCTCGATGTAGTTGAAATTCGATCTAGTTGGGACGCCATTGTCGGGATCATGGTGTACAGGAAAATGTTGGATTGCGGTGTACCATCGTGACCATGCATCGCAAGACTGCACGATTCGAGCTAGCTGGGAAGCAACAACGAGATCATGGCTTACGGGGCGTCGCGTTGGTGACCCAACCTCGCAAAACATTCTCGATTCGAGCAAGTTGGGAAGATCAACGAGTTTGCGACATACAGTCGTTGCCTTTTTCGATGTAGTCGCGATAAGAGCTAGCTGGGCGCGATGACGGGATTGGATCTTCTACCTCTTGCTTTTTCTGCCCCCTCCAATCGTACGGGATCGAGTGATACAGTCGCTAGCTTTGTGGGACAGTGAGATTCAACTATGATTTTAGACAGCTGGGAAGCGGGATCACAATATAAAGTAGTTTCAAAATGGGACATGGAGCAATGACAACCAAAAAATTGCAATATAGAGGGAAATTAGATGAAAAGTTGAGCCATATCAGATCTGAATTGGATGAGCATTTCTGGATCATAGAAGCACAACTTTCTTTTATGGAGGGGAGATTCATGGTTTTCAAAGAAATGAAGAAGATTGTGGAGTTTCACACAACCCTTAGCCGCTGGCCGCAACATCGAGCGACAAAATCGGGAACGGACACTAGTTGCAACAATTAGAAGGATTCACGCAACATTAGGGCAGCATCACGGCTTTAGGTGGATCTGGAGTTGTGAGATTGTGCAGGAATCTGGAATGGATTCGAGCGACAACAATCTGAAGGATTATGCGGTATCACAGCAGTGTCATTGCTTTAGGGGGACCTGGAGTCAAGGGGTCGAGCGAAGGAATGGGGAGCGGTTTGAGCATGCAATAATCCTGAAGTTGGGAGTTTGTTTCGTAACTGTGTTGCCCATATCACTAACCCTAGGTGTAAAAGGACGATATTGCGAGATGGATTTAAGAGTTTTTAGAGGTTGGGATCATACAATGTAGAGTGAGCTCTTTCTCTTGCTCTGTCTCATTTGTAAAGAAAAAGGATGAAAGTTTGTGTTTCTATGTGGATTATCGGACATTGAATACAACAAAAAAAAAATAGTTGACAAATTTCCCATCCCGGTGACCGATGAGCTACTTGATGAGTTGTCTAGGGTTGCAATTTCTTCCAAGATTGACTTGAAGTTTGGGTAACAACATGTTCGGATGCGGCTGAAAGATGTGCTCAAGATTGCATTTCAAACTCTTGAGGGTCACTATGAATTTCTGATTAATTGGAAAGGATTGCTAGATGAGGACGCCATGTGGGAGCTAAACAACTTGATTCAACAACAAATTCTTTTTTTCCAACTTGAGGACAATGTCTTTTTGAGAGGGGAGTTTTGTTATGGTGGAGCATAAGAGTAATTTAGTCTTTTATTATTTATTATTGTTTAGTATAAATAAGTCTGTACATCAAAAATGTACCAAAGCTAATTCTGAGATCTAATGGCCAAGAGGAGAAAAGTACGATGAGGGAGTGCCCCCCGATAAAAGAATTTGAGACCCACTTTTCTGACCGAGTGTAGCTATCTGAGCCAAAGCCGACCGAGTCACGAGGAGGACAAAAAGAAGACCAAACGATCCGAAGTTCGAACCGTTTGGTCAGAAATGAGATGACAAAACATCCGAGCCAACCACTACGAAGAAGCTGAATCGAGTGGTCCAGTTGGCTAGTTCCTCAACATCTCCAATCGTACCGGGGACATCCAAAAGTCCCCTTATCTATTATCAAGGGTGGATAGCCAAACAAGATCAGCCGATCTGCAATGTCGACCAAGCCTAGTTGACTAAAATAGTTCTACAGTCTCAAAACCAATTAAGCTCAAATAATCCAGCCAGAGAGTAGCCGAACAATAGACTTTTACATGCAAAATACAAAGAATATTTTGTACAACCACTTTAAAGCAGAGGCAAAAAAGACAACTAGAATGTTGTCTGTGGTTCTGAGAGCGAGGAAAGGTGATGCCAACAATTAGGGGAGGAATGTGGATGATGAAAAAGTCGGAGATAAATACCCTTATGAGGATGAGCTATATCCAAAGAACCACTCAATCATTTGGAAGGAGATCACCATGTTGGACAAGCTACAGTTAAAGCACCACCCACTATTCGATATAGCCCTAGAAGGGAATAAAGTGGATGACGGCAACTGTCTTGTAGAAAACATACGTCAAAATTGAAAGCCTGAAATAAAGAAACACATAAATAAGCCCTAGATTCTTAGAATTGAATCTCTTAATAGAAAGGAGACGCTAAACCAACGTGGGAATGCCAGTCGGCTTCCCAGGTCTAGACCAGTTTGGTCCAGATGAAGCAAGTATGGGATGGGCTCCAGCGGCTCTTTATGCCCATGTCACTAAAGTGGTAAGGCGTAAATCTCCCACATCAATAATATAGTACGACTTCCTGGGTAAATTAATAGTCTCTAACGTCAAAATGATTTTACAACATAAAACTCGGTATCATAGCTGTAATATAAATTTTCAATCTAGCATCTATAGATTTATTGTTAATTTCATCGCATTGTTTCAGCATAGACATGTATTCCTATAGAAATTCAACTCATGCGTGTTAGTTTTTGTGATCTTAAATATTTTAAGATTACATAAAACTCGGTATCATAGTTGTAATATAAATTTTCAATCTAGCATCTATAGATTTATTGTTAATTTCATCGCATTGTTTCAGCATAGACATGTATTCCTATAGAAATTCAACTCATGCGTGTTAGTTTTTGTGATCTTAAATATTTTAAGATTACA